ACATGGTGAAACCCCGTCTCTACTAAAAATACAAAAAATTAGCTGGGCATGGTGGCACATGCCTGTAATCCCAGCTACTCAGGAGACTGAGGCAGGAGAATTGCCTGAACCCAGGAAGCAGAGGTTGCGGTGAGCTGAGATCGCGCCATTGCACTCCAGCTTGGGTAACAAGAGTGAAACTCCGTCTCAAAAAAAAAACAAACAAAAAACCTCATAGTGATCCAGATACTTCAGTGGGTATTAAATTTACTTCTCCTTTATGGTCCAATTTATCTGACCCTTTTGTACATTGGGTAGTTATGCTTCAAAGGATACATCATTAACCTGTCATTAGTGTCCTTCCTGGGACGCTGTGTGGAGTAAGGTAGGATGAGGAGCTGGCGTCTCTGGCCAGGGCTTGGACTGTTCCTGACAACATGACAGCTGCCTAGCAGTTAACTGCCATATCAACTTGTAGAGCTGGAGGGATAGCATTTCTTTCTTTTGTCTTCCTTCCTTTTTTTTTTTTTTTTTTTGAGACAGTCTTATTCGTTGCCCAGGCTGGAGTGCAGGGGTGAAAGCTTGGCTCATAGAAACCTCCACCTCCCAGGTTCAAGCGATTCTCCTGCCTTGTGTCCTGAGTAGCTGGGATTATAGGTATGCCCCGCCATGCCCAGCCAATTATTATTATTATCGTATTTTTAGTAAAGATAGGGTTTTTCCATGTTGGCCAGGCTGGTCTCAAACTGCTGGCCTCAGGTGATCCACATGCCTTGGCCTCCCAAAGTGCTGGGATTACAGGCATGAGCCACCACGCTCGGCCTGTATGCTCATTTTTCAACCATTACTCAGCACCTACTCCATGTCAGGCACTGTGCTCTGTCCTGGTGACAGCAGCATGTAGGACAAGCAAGGTCCTGCCATCAGGACAGACACTAAATAGGTGAGTCGGTGAAGTGTGCTGAGTCTTTGAAAGCCAAAGCTTAGGTTGCTGTGGGGACTGTGAATAGAAAATCACTTAACCAGCTGAGACACAGCTTCTCTGAAGAAATTATGTTTAAGTGGAGACCTAACAGATGTCCTAAGAAGGAGTTAACCTAGGGGAGTCAGAAAAGGTTGTCCCAGGCAGAGCAGACAGCATGGACCATAATTTCTGAGCAGAATTGAAAGGGTCAGGTATGGTAGCTTCTAGCCTGACAAATGCAGTCATAGGGGAAAGATGAAGAAGGGCCCCACCCACACTGGGGAGATGCTTTGTGAGACCCATCAAGGAATTTGGGCTTTATCCTACAGGTTCTTAATGGTTGGGGGAGAAAATGGTCAGAACTAGGAGAGAGACATCAGGATGTCCAGTTGATGGGATGGAGGGATGGACTGGCCATGGGTGCAAGGAGGCTTCAGTGCAGCCATAGTGGTTCCTTATGAACTGGTCAGGTTTGAGTCACTCTCATTAATTTGGGTCCATTATCACTTACCTTCCCTTCACATTTATCTGTTGGCATTTGACTCAATATGGCCTTTAGGTTCTAGGTCACTGTGGTCCTGCAAGGCTCGCTCAACACAATATACTTCTCTGGTAAGAGGGAGGAAACTTGACTACAAGGGGACTGAGGTGATGGATAGGCCTGGGTCATGCCATGTGGAAGAGGCGTGATGGTTGGAGAGACAGTTCTATATGAAAGCACCCTCTTGGCAGATCATGATGTAGTGGAAGACAGAGCAGCAGCTCATCTTCCAAACCCCAAGCATCAGGCAGAGCTATTAATGATGCTTGTTTCCTTTCCTGAACCCTCAAACGAGATTCTGTTCCAAACTACTTAGACTAGACTAGTGACATAAGCAATCTCTTTGTTATATTTTTAAGCATATCCCAAGAGCCTACTGAATTATGTATGTATGGTTTTGATGAGCTTAGTATATATGTTTTAGTTTATTGACTAACTCTGCAGGAACTAGCTCTGAAATCTTTCATTCTTGCAGCAAATATTTATTGAGCACCAACTATGTATCAGACCTTGTTTTAGGCAATGGGGATATAGCAGTGAACAAAACAGACAAAAAATTCTGTCTTCAAGGAGCATACATTCTAGGAGGGATGGTGGGGATAGACAAACAATGGAAAAATAAACCTGTTTCTTTCTTTTTGAGATAGAGACTCACTCTGTCACCCAGGCTGGAGTGCAGTGGTGTGATCTCGGCTCATTGCAACCTTCACCTCCCAGGTTCAAGCATTTCTCCCATCTCTGTCTCCCAAATTGCTGGGACCACAGACACTCGCCCCCACACCCAGCTAATTTTTATATTTTTAGTAGAGACAGGGTGTTACCATTTTGGCCAGGATGGTCTTGATCTCTTGACCTCATGATCCGCCTCCCAAAGTGCTGGGATTACAGCTCCTGTAATCCCAGCACTTTTGGAGGCCAAGGTGGGCGAATGACGAAGTCAAGAGATAGAGACCATCCTGGCTAACATGGTGAAACCCCATCTCTACTTAAAAATACAAAAAAATAGCTGGGCGTGGTAATGGGCGCCTGTAATCCCAGCTACTCAGGAGGCTGAGGCAGGAGAATCGCTGGAAAACCAGGAGGTGGAGGTTGCTGTGAGTCGAGATTGTGCCACTGCATTCCAGCCTGGGCAACAGAGTGAGACTCTGTCTCAAAAAAAACAAAAAACAAAAAAATCCAAGTACAGATGTCAGATAGGTGGTTGTTTGCACCTGTCTGGAGCTCAAGGGAGAGGACCTGGCTGATAACTTTGGGGTCATCAGAAATAGATAACATTTAAAAGCTATGGCACTGAATGAAACCACCAAGGGAGTGAGTATAGCTAGAAAAGAGAAATAGACTAGGGACTGAGCCATGGTTACTACAGTCATCATCAGGAGAAACGAGCAGAAGGAACCGAGAAGTGGTTGGAGATGTAAGAGGAAAATCAGAAGAAATTTGTGTTCTGGAAGTCAGGTGAAGAGTGTTTCAAGGAAGGTGGAATCTGCCATGTCAGATGCTGCTGATAGGTCAAAGTGGGAAGAAGGTAAGAATTGACTACTGGATTTAATTGTGACAAAGATCAGATAACTGAAGCTTGGTTATTTGTACTGTGATTTACAACCAATAAAGTTTTCAGCCACGATACCTGGACACAGAGCATCATGAGAGAGTTGCATGATTTCAGTTTGACGTTCTGAATGTTTTACTTTTCCCTCCTGCCTCTTTTGGACTCTTCATCCTGAGGAAGTGCTTTTGGGACTGGTAACTGCTCTTGGGAAGGGAGTGTTGCTAATCACAAATTGGATTTTTAATGACATTGGGCTGTCGTGCGTTTACTACACTACCAGTGTCGTTGTTTGGATTTTTTTTCCATGGTAATGAAGACTTTATTCAGGACCATGGCAATGTATAGGTACCTCTGCAAAGAGTCTTGCAGTTGGGGAGAGAGTGAGCTCAACTCTGAATACAACACAGGAAGTGGGAGTTGGTAGGCAAGGAGCAGGGTAAGGGTCAGTGAATAGAAATTGACTCACAATGTCAGTGTTTTTATCATAATTCAGTCTCAGTGTGAAACCTTTCTCACATGAAACTCAGAGTGCATTATAAATCTTTCATTGAACACTTTTAAAAATAAGGCTAACTTTGGAAGGCTGAGGCAGGCAGATCACTTGAGGTCAGGAGTTTGAGACCAGCCCAGCCAACATGGTGAAACGCCACCTCTACTAAAAATACAGGCCTGGCAGGACCCTGTGGCTCATGCTTGTAATCCCAGCACTTTGGGAGGCTGAGGTGGGAGGATCACTGGAGCCCAGGAGTTTGAGGTTATAGTAAGCTTTGATTGCCCCACTGCACTCCAACCTGAGCAACAGAGCAAGACCCTGTCTCTACAAATAATAAATAAAAATAAAAATATGAGGGCCGGGCGCGGTGGCTCAAGCCTGTAATCCCAGCACTTTGGGAGGCTGAGGCGGGTGGATCACGAGGTCAAGAGATCGAGACCATCCTGGTCAACATGGTGAAACCCCGTCTCTACTAAAAATACAAAAAATTAGCTGGGCATGGTGGCGTGTGCCTGTAATCCCAGCTACTCAGGAGGCTGAGGCAGGAGAATTGCCAGAACCCAGGAGGTGGAGGTTGCGGTTAGCTGAGATTGCGCCATTGCACTCTAGCCTGGGTAACAAGAGTGAAATTCCGTCTCAAAAAAAATAAATAAAAATACAAGAAAAAATTAGCTGGGCGTCATGGTTGCACACCTGTAATCCCAGGTACTCGGGAGGCTGAGGCAGGAGAATCACTTGAACTGAGGAAGCAGAGGTTGTGGTGAGCCAAGATTGTGCCACTGCACTCCAGCCTGGGTGACAGAGTAAGATTCTGTCTCAAAAAAATAAAAATTAAAAAAACCATAAGGCCAATTTGACTGGGCAAGGTAGCTCAAGTCTGTAATCCTAGCACTTTGGGAGGCTGAGACAGGCAGATCACTTGAGGACAGGAGTTCAATACCAACCTTGAGACTAGCCTGGGCAACATGGGGAAACCTTGTCTCTACCAAAAATACAAAAACGTAGCCAGGTTTGGTGGCATGTGCCTGTGGTCCCAGCTACTCGGGGGCTGAGGTGGGAGGAATGATTAAACCCAAGAGGTGGAGGTTGCAGTGAGCTGAGATCATGCCACTGCACTCCAGCCTGTTGACAGAGTGAGACCCCATAGTAAGGCTAATTTATATCCTGTTGAGTCTCTCATAGCACCATTCTTTTCCTTTATAACATTTAATCTCAAATTGTAATTACATATTTATGTGATTATTTGATTGTTTTATCTCTCCTCCTAGACTGCACATTCCTTGCAAGCAGAAACTTTATCTGTTTGGCTTACCAAAATATCCAGTGCTTTGCTGAGGCCTGGCTCATAGTCCGTGCTTAATAAGTAATTATTAATCAACCTGCATAAATTACAGGCGTTATTTTATACACAAGGACCTAAAACACCTAATCAGCTTAGCTAATGTCACACTCTTTTTTTTTTTTTTTGAGATAGGCTCTGTTGCCCAGGCTGGCGTGAAGTGGTGCCATCACAGCCCATTGCAGCCTTGACCTCCTGGACTCAAGAGATCCTCCCACCTCAGTCTCCTCTCCTGAGTAGCTGGGACTACAGGTGTGTACCACCATACCTGGCTAATTTTTGTATTTTTTGTAGAGAAGGAGTTTTGCCATGTTGCCCAGGCTAGTCTCAAACTCCTGGGTTCAAATGATCTGCTCGCCCCAGCCTCCCAAAGTGCTGGGATTATAGGTGTGAGCCACTGCTGTCAGCCCTACAATTTGTTTTTAAGTTAGGTTGAGGATCTGTCTCACTTCATAACTAGGGCCCTGACCTCACCTCTGACTCCAGTGCTTTATTTTAGCATGTGTTATATTAGGATACAATTACTGAAAAGAATTCACCCACAGAAAAATCAAATTCTCAAATAAGTCTTAATTGCATTTCATTTCAAGTAAATGGAATTCTACAGTATGGGTATTGACACTGGCCCTTTGGAATGTGTCTGAGGGGACAGAGGTGTGCAGCAAGTCTGTGGAGGTGCCTCTGAGGATGTAGTGCTCTGGAAGGTGTGGGGCTGGCTCTGGGGCTAGTCTCATGGTGGGTGGCTCTTGAGGCACAGTGGAGGCTGACACTAAGTGAGGGCGTGTCACTCTTTCGGTGCCAAGTCTTACTGCCCAGCCTGTATAGCAGCAACTACAAACTGATACGCACCATTGCCCTACATATAGCCATTGTTAAATTTGCTTGCCAGAAGTGATACAGGAGAACTCCTTTTTGAACCCTCCCTTCGTCAGTCTGAGTTGTTCATGAGTGGTGAGGACTTCCTAACATCTGCAGCTCAGCCACCCACCCACCCAGTGTGATACTCCCCAGGAAAAATTGCCATCTTCAAATACGCTCAGCAGGTGCTGGGACTGACCAGCATACTGGGCATTAGCTTGAAGTTACTGTCTCAGAAAACTTATTCTCTTGGCCCCAGCCTATACTGATGATGTCCCCAAAAGCGAGCTTACAGGGTTTTTTTTGTTTGTTTTAAAGGAGATTTCTAATTCACACATATCCACTTAGTTTGATTACAGATCTGAATTTGCAAGGTGTGAACAGGTTGTTCTATGTCCTTGGGTGCAACTACTTAAGGTCATTAAAAATAAGGTATAATTTATATACAGTGAAAAACACAGATTTTTAAATTTTTTTTTGTGAGATGGAGTCTTGCTCTGTCACTAGGCTGGAGTGCAGTGGCACAATCTTGGCTCACTGCAACCTCTGCCTCCCAGGTTCAAGCACTTCTGCCTCAGTCTCCCAAGTAGCTGGGACTATAGGCACGTACCACTACAACTGGCTAATTTTTTATTTTTTGTAGAGACGGGCTTTCACCATGTTGGCCAGGATGTCTCCAACTCTTGACCTTGTAATCCACCCGCATCAGCCTCCCAAAGTGCTGAGATTACAGGTATGAGCCATGGTGCCCGGCCAAAAACACAGATCTTAAATATTCAATTTGATGAGTTTTGACAATTGTATCACCATGAAACCAAAGCACCACACAATATACAGAACATTTCCATCACTCTAAAATGTGGCCTGTGCCCCTTTCTGGTCAATTCCCTCCACCTCAGCCACCACTGCCACTGCCACCTTCTGACTGGTTTCTCTAAAAATAAGGCTGGCTTGTTCCTGAATTTCAAATAAATGGAATTCTTTAGTATGGGTCTTTTGTGTGTGGGCTTGCTCTATTTCACTCTACATAATGTTTTTAAGATTTATACAGGCTTAAACAGCATCCTAAAAAAAAGAAATAAAAAAAATTAAAGATTCATACAGACCAGGAGAGGTGGCTCATTATAATCCCAGCACTTTGGAAGACTGAGGCAGGAGGCCACTGGTCAAGACCAGCCTGGGCAACATAGTGAGACTCCTATCTCTACAAAAAATTAATAAAATGTTTAAAAAAAAATTCATTAATAGTTCCTTTCTTTTTACTGTTTTACTTATATTCCATTGTGTGACATCATAAGTTATCTGTTCTGTGAACATTTGTTTCCAGTGTGGGGCCATTATAGTAAGGCTGCTGTGAACATTTGTGTAATTTTTTGTGTGTGGACTTATGTTTTTATTTTCTTAGATAAATATCTGTAAGTGGAGTTGCTGTCTGATTGGGTTGATATATGATTAACTATAAGAAACTGTCAGTTTGCCAAAGTGGTTGTACTGTTTTAGACTCCCACCAAGATTGTATGGGAGTTCCATTTGCTACATATCCTCTGCAAACTTTGGAATTGTCTCTCTTCTCCCCTCCCCCACAGTATGGGTCTTTTGTGTGTGGGCCTGCCATCTTTCACTTTACATAATTTTTTTTTTTTTTTTTTTTTGAGATGGAGTGTCTCTCTGTAGCCCAGACTGGAGTGCACTGGCGCATATCTCGGCTCACTGCAACCTCCACCTCCCGGGTCCCGGTTCAAGCCATTCTCCTACTTCAGCCTCCCAAGTAGCTGGTATTACAGGCATGAGCCACCATGCCCAGCTAATTTTTGTATTTTTTAGTAGAGACGGGGTTTCAACATGTTGGCCAGTCTGGTCTTGAACTCCTGACCTTGTGATCTGCCCTCCTCAGCCTCCCAACGTGCTGGGATTACAGGTGTAAGCCACCGCACCCAGCCTACGTAATGTTTTTAAGATTCATATAGGCCAGGAGAGGTGGCTCATGGCATGAGCCACTGTGCCTAGCCTGGACAACTTTTTTAATTGAGTGGTTCATCTTTTTACTGTTTTCATTGTAATCCCAGCACTTTGGAAGACTGAGGCAGGAGGCCATCAGGTCAAGACCAGCCTGGGGCAACGTAATGAGACTCCCATCTCTATAAAAAAGTAATAAAAATTTTAAAAAGAAAAATTAATAAAATTAATAATTTAAAAATAAAAATTTTAAAAAGAAAATCCCTCCCCTCGATCTTGGCTCACCTCCCCTCCCCTCCCCTGAATCTCCCCTCCCCTGAATCTCCCCTCCCCTGAATCTCCCCTCCCCTCCCCATCTCACCTCCCCGGTTCCCCTGATTCTCCTGCCTTAGCCTCCTGAGTAGCTAGGATTACAGGCTTGCGCCACCATACCTGGGTACTTTTGTATTTTTAGTAGAGATGGGGTTTCACCATGTTGGTCAGGTTAGTCTCAAACTTCTGACCTCAGGTGATCCACCCACCTCGGCCTTCCAAAGTGTTGGGATTACAGGCATGAGCCACCACACTCGGCCAATTGTCAGTCTTTCATATATTAGCCATTCTAGTGGGTATCTCAATGTACTTTTAATTTATATGTCCCTAATGACATGTAACACCTTCTCCTGTGCTTCTTGGTCATCACTGTGTCTTTGATGAAGTGACTGTTTAAGTGTTCGGACTTTTTTTTTTTTTGAGACAGAATCTCGCTCTGTCGCCAGGCTTGAGTGCAGTAGTATGATTTCGGCTCACTGCAACCTTTGCCTCCCAGGTTCAAGCAATTTTCCTGATGCAGCCTCCCAAGCAGCTGGGACTACAGGCATGTGCCGCCATGCCCAGCTAATTTTTGTATTTTTAGTAGAGATGGGGTTTCAACCTTGTTGGCCAGGATGGTCTTGAACTCCTGACCTCAGGTGATCCACCTGCCTTGGCCTCCTAAAGTGCTGGGATTACAGGCGTGAGCCACCGTGCCCAGCCTGGACAACTTTTTTAATTGAGTGGTTCATCTTTTTATTGTTGATTTGTAGGGGTTCTGCTGACAATTCCTTTGTTACATATATGTTCAGCTCATGTTTTCCCAACCTGTGGCTTGCCTTTTCATTTTTAAATGATGTCTTTTTTTTTTTTTTTTGAGATGGAGTTTCGCTCTTGTTACCCAGGCTAGAGTGCAATGGCGCGATCTCGGCTCACCACAACCTCTGCCTCCTGGGTTCAGGCAATTCTCCTACCTCAGCTTCCTGAGTAGCTGGGATTACAGGCACACGCCACCATGCCCAGCTAATTTTTTGTATTTTTAGTAGAGACGGGGTTTCACCATGTTGACCAGGATGGTCCCAATCTCTTGACCTTGTGATCCACCCACCTCGGCCTCCCAAAGTTCTGGGATTACAGGCCTGAGCCACCACCGCCTGGCCCGAACACCATTTCTTTTTCTTCTTCTTTTTCTTTTTAAATATTTTTAAAAGAAAAAAAATTGTCTCGCTCTCTTGGCCCGGGGTTTGGCGAGTGCTGCTGCCAGGGGGTGCTGTAGCACTCAGAGGGTGGGCCCACCACCCCTGAGGGGGCAGAGAGATGGGGGACCCCCCGAAACCATTTCTTAAGAAGAATTTTCAGGCTGGGCACGGTGGCTCACGCCTGTAATCCCAGCACTTTGGGAGTCCGAGGTGGGTGGATAACGAGGTCAGGTGTTCAAGACCAGCCTGGCCAATGTGGTGAAATCTCATCTCTACTAAAAATACAAAAATTAGCTGAGTGTGGTGGCTTGTGTCTGTAATCCCAGCTACTTGGGAGGCTGAGGCAGGAGAATTGCTTGAACCTGGAAGGCAGAGGTTGCAGTGAGCCGATATCACATCACTGCACCCCAACCTGGGTGACAGAGCAAGACTCCATCTGGGGAAAAAAAAAAAAAGTATGGTCACAAGGAAAACTTTTTTTTTTTCTTTTAAAAGACAGAGTCTTGCTCTGTTGCTCAGCCTGGAATGCAGTGACTTGATTTCAGCTCACTGCAGCCTCCACCTCTTGGGTTCAAGTGATTCTCATGCCTCAGCCTCCTGACTAGCTGGGACCACAGGCATCTGCCACATGCTCAGCTAATTTTTGTATTTTTAGTAGAAACGGGGTTTCACCATGTTGGCCAGGCTGATCTTGAACTCCTGACCGCTAGTGATCCGCCCACCTCGGCTTCTCAAAGTGCTGGGATTACAGGCATGAGCCACTGTGCCTAGACTATTACAGATACATTTTTTAAAAGCTCGATGGAACCACCCAGGCTCCATTTATCTATAAATCTCTGAAGAGCTTTCTGCTGCTAATAGGCTTAGGGAGACAAGTAATGACACTTGAAAAAACCTGTAGGTAGGGCAGTCATGGTGGCTCATACCTGTGATCTCAGCACCTTGGCG